ATCAGACTCATATTCTGACTAGAATTGAGTCGGACTACGTCAGGCTAGGAAAATACGGTAATTTAACCAAGCGTGTTTCTGATCTTTCAGGAGTTAATGACCAATCAATCTCTCAAAAAAAACAAAAAACAGAGCAGATTTGTTTTTAAATTACATTTTAATGAAGAGTAAAATATTTTAGATAGTTTATACCCTCATCAATAACATAAATAATTTTTTTTGTGCATCAACCTGATAAAAAAACGAATCTAACACATTAACATGACTTTCAGTGAGTAAAATCATGTTGCTCACTTAGAAAGCTTACTTTGAACATCTAAGAACCAGGGGTGTGAATAATTTAGGGCCTAACTGTAGTTGTTTGAAATGAGAATTAGCATTTAATTATCTAGGGCCTGCAGTTTTTAACACAGCTCTGTTTGTTTTCTCAGTTCCTCTATGTAACATGAGCAAACTCGCTGAAACAAGCATGTCTGAGACGGCTGCTCACTCTCTCTTTTTCTAAGACCTGCTGAAGAGAAACTGTCTGCACAGTGAAGAACTTGTATCCTACTTTGTTTGTAAAATGACTTCAGCGCCATTCTTAAACTTTCAAATATCAACATTGGATTTCTAAGATCACCTCTGACGTCGTTCCTCCTCAGGGGAATAGCAGATACGTATATTTGCCAGGGCCAATTTGTCCTGTTTTTAAATAAATCAGAACTGATAAAAAATTTATTCTCACTTGCTTGTTGCTAATCAAACCAGTCGTTTTTTTTAATATGTAATATGTTTCCTTTCCCAACTGGAAGATAATTACGAGGCGCTACCATGCAGTTAAATGATGATTTATCACATGCAAGCTGCAGGCATCATTCTAAGGATTAATTTCAACACTATGATCTTTTCAATAACTTTTTCAATAACCTAAAATTACAATGATAGAGCATCAAACTATATATATGGTTTCTCATTCTATGTGGCTGTAAACTAGAAAGAAGCTGTAGTTCTCCTTCATTAACTGGAAATAACTTTTGTAATTTAGAGCATCTAATGATGCAGTTATATACAAAACTAATGCCCTACATGGTTTCTTATTGCTAATTTAGTTAGTCACCTGGGATTTAGCACTCAGTTAAAGGAAAGTATTGCGAGATCTTGCAAATAATAAACTTTTGCGAGATCCCGCAATACTTTTGCGAGATCTCGCAAAACTATTGCGGGATCTCGCAAAAGTTATTTTTTTCCCCTCCATGTCCCTTTAGGGGCTCCGTAGGACGATAATGTGGAAAGTAGTCTTTTTTTTTTAAGCATCTTGTAAAGATTGAGTTTTTAAGGTTGGGAAAGATTGCTAGATGAGCTCCAGCACTACCATCCATGAGCACGCTTGCCTGTGATGTCACTGCGTCCTCTACTGCGCATTAGGGGTGGAACGGTTCACAAAATCCACGGTTCGGTTCGATTCACGGTTTCGTTTGCACGGTTTTCGGTTCGGTTCGATTCGGTATATGTTGATTGTTACACCGAAATCCCATAAAAATTTATGAAATTAATGAAAAAATCCCCCAAAAAATAATGGATTGTAATTATTTTAAATGATCCGCGGAAACCCTGGATCATTTCCGTATGTTTTGCTGCTTTGAATTTAATCATCTGGCGCACGCTCTCTACCATCTCCAAGGAACTCAGAGCGGAGCGGACGGGAGCCACAGTGGAGGCTGTAGGCTTTGCTTTGTGCAGCCGGTCTGGAGCGCAGCGGGGCGGAGCGCTGACGGAGTATGTGGGATTTCGGGGTTAGCATGACATGTTGGTCATATTGCTGTTAGCATAAACAAAACGTGTTGCACAATGCTTGCACACTGTTGCACTTTTTTCCACAACTTTCTTTCCGCCGTCATCGTAGGTCACTCTAAATGCAAAGTGGTCCCATACAGCAGACCTATAAAGTGCTGCTGGCGCGTCTTCCAACTCCTGTTCTTTCCCACTCGCCATACCCACACAATTCTCCACAACAACTGATTTTTTCCCCTGCTACACCCGGCTACGCTGCTTCGCTTCTTCTTCTTCTTGTTTACTACTGGTGGTTGGCTTTGGTCGCAGTACCGCCACCTTCTGCTCTGGAGTGGAAACGCTTCGCCTATGAGAAAAAGGAGCAGCGCATGAACCGAACGCAACACACGCGAACCGAACCAAGACAGTCGAACCGAACGGTTCAGACGGTTTTCATAAATCGTCCCATCCCTACTGCGCATGCGGCACACTAAAGCTGTATGAATGCAGTTCACACAGAAGATCACATACAAATCGCATATATTTGGAAATGTGAACGGCAATGCAAGAAAAAAAAATGGATTTCACAAAAAATGGGAATTGACATTAAGGCCTGCAGTGTGAAAGTAGCCTTTTTTAGGTCAGAGCCCAAAACCAAGCTATAAAAAAGTAGTACAAAATAACAGAGAAGAAGAAGCTCTCTGAGTTTCCACACTGAGCTATATAGATATATAATGTATCATAACAAAATGACTGGTATACTTTTACAATTTTTTGTAATTTTTGGTTTCAAAACAAAGATCGAAAAGCCAGAATGTACACTGAGCGCTGCAGAACAGGTAGATCCTGAGTTTGTCAGAGAAAGGAAAAACAATCATAAACATGTCGACTGTAATCAAGTCTTATGGCAGTTTTAAAGGATATCTGGCGTCCATGTTTGTCTATAGAGAGAGGTTTTCGATTGGGCGATGTGATGCGATTCCGGTCGCGGTAGACTCTGTCCACCAAACCATGGTGTCGGGTGGATCTATTAGTGTCCAGCCCTGAATTCTGAGACAAGAGGACAAAACAGTGATAAAGAACATCCAAACTAAATCACTTGCTGTGTGAGTGTTATCCTCCCCACTGTGTGAGTAAATGCAAGCTTTCCTTAAACTATGAAGTCATGAGTTTATAAAGAGACTTGTCTGTGTTTGGCCTTTGTTGCACAGATTTCTGACAGCAGAAAATAAATGATGCCTCTAAGCACAAACTGGCCGCAGAAGAAGGGTGGAAGATAATGTGACTCTGGGATAAATAAAACGAGGACATTGGAATGTGTATGACATAATAAGAAAAAAGTAAAGAAAGTCAGATAAAAAAAAGGTAACAGAAAAAGTGTCCCAAAGGCTGTTTTTAATCCTTATAAACAGCAACAAAAAAAGAAAAGAAAAAAAACAACAGGCCAATGTTCCGTTTTTGCCTTTTCCGTTCGTTTTTGCGTAATCATGGGATTTATTAAGTCCATAACTACTAAAATTGAACCTTTCAATGTGTTGAGCTTTTTTTTTCTCCAATAAATTTTGGGAGAAAGAAAGAACACACTCCCTACATGCATGCAGAGACATGAAAACTGTTCCATTTCTGTCAAAGGGGCTTAATTCTCCTCTGGCCAGAATCCTCCCTACAGAAAAAAAGTAGAGATTAGCTGATTAAGCCCCTGTCACACCTTAAAGATTTAGCCCGCTTATGCCTCACGTATGAAAAATCTGACAAAAACGCTGGCATACGTTGGATGAGTGATGGGTACGTTTTGTATAAGTTATGAGTACGCCAGCGTATGCCATACAGAAGTTACAGGTAAGTTATCTGATCGTTGACATACGCTAAATGTTAGTTACTAATGTTAAAGGTAAGCTCTGTGTCTACACATTGAAGCTTTTACTCTCCGGTTCGTTTTCCTGAAAAGAGAGTATATGTAGTAAATAACTATGAGACCTGACAATAGATTTTGATAGAAATTTTAATCTTACTCAGATCAGAGAAGTTGCTTAGAGTTACAGAAAGCAGCTTCCTACCAACCGGGCCACGATTAAGAGTTAAAAAGGCATTTTATATATATTATCTCCAGTCGGCCACATCATCACATTTTACATCATGCATGTTTGCAGATAAGGAGACATCCATGGCTCCAGCCTTATTAAAATATTGCACTATGTTCTTAGCTGAAGGACGCCGCTCTCAATCCATTCTCAAATCTTTGCCACGTACAAAATTACAATTATAACTGTATATAGCCGGACAGACGAACTGGCCTAATTAGCTAAACTACTGGGGAAAACATCAGTTCTGACACGCAACAGGTAAATAATATTAAGGATTAATAAAATCACACATCATTAATGAAAATTATCAAGTCGTGGCGTCTAGGTTATCGAAAACCTCTGAGTAACATGTGCATAACTTATCCAGAACTTCTCTCCAACGCATATCTAACGTGTTCCAGACGAGCGCTGAACTTTCTAACTTCCAACTGCTGTATAATGGCGTATTGGCAGCGTTTTGGTATAAAAGGAGGAAACAGTCAGTTCTCCTCCAGACTTCATCCCCATCATAGGGTGACCCAGAAGGTGAGTGATGGATCCTCCCTGCGTTCACGCCCACCACCAACAAACTTACTAGCAGACATGATGCTGAATCTGCTGCGACTGCAAACCTTCTGTCTTTCCTTTTCTTCTTTTTAATTTATGTATTTATTCTGTTTTTTGTGTGGGTGGTAAACAGCAGCTAGGTTAATACAGCGATCAAATAAATCTTTTTATGCAGACCTGGCGCCTCCGGGCGCATCGCTGCCCCCCTCAGGACACTTGTGGCTTGTGCATCATTTCATGGGCATTACGTGCCTCATGCATATATTAGGCTGTCTTTGGACATACACTCTGGACTCGGTATGAATACTCTATGTATACGCCCAAAACTGAAAAAATACATAGAAAGTTGAGCGTATTCCAGCGTTTTAGGAGATTCTGGGACGTCAGGCATACGTTGGCTAAATCGGCTAGGTGTGACAGAGGCTGGTTCTGGAAGGTTCTGATAAATTTCTTTCACCTGAGGGAGACGGTTTGGATCTTCCTAGATAACAGCAGCCATCATTTAGATCTTGGCTTTAGGCTTAATCTGAGCGGTCTGTCATATTCCTGATAGCTGTAGTTGAAAATTGGGCTGTGTTTGGTCGCTCTGATTTTGTCCCACTTTGGTCCAATAAAAGATCTAAAAATTACAGCTTTTCACCTTCACTTTTCAACCAAATATAGACGTCGTTTAGACGTAAATCACATCTTTTTAACTCATTTTTGAGTTTGTTATACCTTTCCAACAAGGTGACTCAGAAGCTGATATTGATATCCAGATCTTTGAACTGATGGTTTATGAATCTAGTTATTCAGAAAAGGGTTCCAATGTCATCAAAGGTTCATCTGTCCTTCTTAGATCTTCATTAAGCTCTCTGGATTTCTCATTTTTATAAATGTTTGTCTACTTTATACTAATATGTTGAGATTTTAGAAATAGGATTTTTTTAGGCACTAATGGCCTCTCTTTATAGGTTGTTTCTGATAGTAAGCAGAAAGGGAAATGGGATTAAGGAGAGAAGACGTGCATTAAAGGTCACCATCCAGGGAAGCATTAATGACCAAAAGCCTCTGGACTCTTTGCACTGCAGCACCCTATATCTGTTTAAAATGGAGATTTTCTTTAAATAGAAATGGAAGGCGAGGCTATTAGGAGTGTGAATCCCCAGCTTTATCATTATACAGTAGCATTATGGTTTTCAAAAGTATAAAAAAGTATTGCTAGTCAAATGTAGCACCCAGGATACAATGCAAGTGTGTCATATTATCTATTCTAAAATGTAGTTTGCATGTTTTTGCTGTTGTTAATTATACATTTCTGAATAATTTCCACATCCACTGTGATTCTGTTTATAAAGCGTGTTCCGTGATGAATGCTTTTAACCAGTAGCGGGTATTCTCTCTGGGTTTCAATGTCGAATTTGAAACATTAGTACTCAGGTTAACTCCGGCTGTTCATGAATAAATCTGACATTTGAGACAAAGCTTTGATTCAGGGGAGCCTTTTTATAATTACTTTATGAAAATAAAACCAAAATGATTCCAAAAAGAACCATTCAATTAACTCATTAAATTTTTGAATTTAAACAGGCCATGATGGCTGTATGTAAATCTACTCCAACCTTCCTCTGAGCTCTTCCCTACATGCCTATGAGACAATAATCAAAGGCGAGCGTTCACTAAAAGCCCTCTCATCTCGAAATCAACTAAAACTTCTTCCAAGTGTGTTTAGTCAACTTCACTTCAACAAAGCTGTGGCCCCTTCAGTTAATCTCTGCTTTAGAACCAGGGTCAACTCTAGTGTTGGTAATAAACTTAGAAGTGTTGAACTACTGGGAGAGGCTCTGACAGCAGGCAGAATATACTGTAGCTTAGTTTTATTCTAAACAGAGCCTCTTTGTTTACACACAGCTTAGAGACATGCTCAGAATAAGTCAGGATGAAGCTGACATCTACATCCAGGGAAACAATAATTAGTAGACTTATTAAAACACACGAAACATAAAAAAGAGAAGGATTGGAGAGGAGAAAGTGTGTTCCTTCTGTTTAGAAAACCGTAATATCTGAGAGAGGGACCTTGGATCAAATAATGAATCCTCGGAAGAAACTCTATCACCCTTCAGGAGATGAAAAATGCCTCATAGTTTTACTCTGAGCTCAGGCCTTTACTTAAAAAGGAATATTATGGAGTGAATTTTGTTCCATTATTGTTCCATTATTTAAAAGAATACATTTTATAAATGAGCATCTAAAAAAAAAGGCCAATCTAGATTTGGATTAACTCGGTGCTCCTTTTTTTCCTTAAGAAAATTATTTTATATTTTCATTTTTTCATTTCCCTTTTTTTTAATAAGTTTAGAAAATTGCAAACTTTTCCATTTATGTTTTCTTCACTCTATGCCGAATAAAAAACTCTTGCTCTTGACCAACAGAAATGTGTTTTGCTCCTCACTCAGCATGCATCAGAGCAGATTTGTCCGTTTCTGAGATGTACAGCTTTCCCAGCATGCACTGCAGCATTTGAATTTTCTTTAAATCCATCCTAAACCTTCAGTCCAGCTCTGGTGTAGTTTTCTTCTCCTCTACCTCAAAAAATAGGCCTCAGTGTCTCTCAGAGTGTTATGACCTCTAAAAACCGCCCTTCGGTCTACCTGAACAGTTCGTTCATGGTTCTGTACAATGCAGGAGGTTATGAGCGACGCCTCACCTGAAAAGACAGATCAGCAGTGCAGTTTCCAACCTGATTCACATTTGGCAAAGAGCCTCCGTAGTACGGCCCGCGGCTCGATCCCATCTGCAAATACTTTGTGTCCTGCAGCTGTAGCTGCAAACAGAAAAAGAAGACAGTTATTATAAGAACCTGGGAAGTATTCACACCCATCAAACTTGCTTTGGGAATAAGTCGATACCTCCGTTGGTTTACAGCAAACTGTTTTTTAATCTAAACTGTTCTGTTAGGATTTAATTATTTTGTTATTTTTTCCAGGAGCAGGACAATCTACTTCCTTAAAACTGTGTGATTTTGTTTAAAGTCCCTCAAAGTTAATAGGTTACAGAGGTAAACGACTAACCTCGCCGTAGGACTTGTGTGATTTGTTTCTGCTAACTAAAATAAATATCTATAACCAATCTGAATAGCTGTAACAATACACTTTGAAATGTTTTACATCTTTTTTAACTACATTTTTTGTAAAAAAGAAAAAAATTATTAAAACATTGTAAGCTGTTTAGTTTGAATTAATTTAAATAAAATGCTGTCATTCCTGGTAAACGACGTATGCTAGGTCCTGTAGCGCTAGCTCTGTCCAGCCAAATCAGCAATTACTAACATTAAACATTTTCAGTTGAACAGTTTAAATTTATGAGAATGTAGAAATAAAAAAGAGGTGATAATGTTGAGAGAGTGGAGAGGGTCGGCTGAAGAAGCTGATGTCAGTTTGGCTGCTGCTAGGAGATGCTAACTGTCAGGTTGGGAGGAGGTTCCAGTGGAGGACCCAAATACAGAGACATAAGCTGAAGGGGGTTTATGCAGATTTATTTATCCAAAGAAGGCAACAGAAGCAGAAATACAAAAACATAAATTCTTAGGATCCACAAAAATACTGGAAAGGGAAGAAACAACGACAAACCAGCAAACAGTAACTAAACAGGAGGTGCATATACGGGAGAGAAATAAAGACCAGGCTAATTAGCAGATTGGGAGCAGGTGTGAACAGAGGAGGCTAGAAGGGAGCTAGGGTAAAAAGAGACTGACACAAGAGGGCAATAAGAAATGCATAACAACTCAAATACAATAAAAAATTATAAGAATAACACAAAATGGAAATAAAACCAATGAGAACTCAAAGATAAAAATTAAAGACAACCAAAACCATGACACTGGAATGCCATGGACAGCTATGCTACAAACGGCTCCAGTTTCTAACTGAGGCTGTTTATATTTAGCATCGGGGTCAACACATTTTTTCCTGATATATAAAACCATTGTGTTACAACAACTTAAAGATGCTTCACAGTCACTTTAAACATATTTCATTATCTTCAGATTTGATTTTAATTTTACGTTACATTATGCTAATGGTGTTAGCGCTAGCTAATAAAGTAAACAATAGATCAGAATCTGATAACATCTGTTTGCATCAACATATATATCATGTAAAATGGCTCATAAAAGAGGCAGTGTGGCACTTTCGTCTGGTTTGGTCTGCTGCGGTTTCCGTAGACTCGTGAACGCGCTTCTAGGAAATCCTATAAACTACTGTTT